TGTTCGTATTTCACGTCTTATGAACCCATACAGTAACTTTGTTACAAACAGACCAAATTTTAAGCATTTATTGACAAATCTTTGAGTCCTTGAATCACATTAGTGTAATTTATGAAAGACTCATTCAGATCTGGTTTGAGAACATCATCAAAAAGAAACAAAATCCATAGAAATTTTGCTCGTTGGACATTACTGACAGACATTTTACTTCATCTCGACTTTTCCATGTAAGGGAGTCATTTGGGTTTGGGCGAGTCATTTTTGGGGAGTGTTTTTGGGTCGCTGTACCTTTAAATAGATAATTAGCAGATCGAGGCAAAGTAAAGTTGTTTAAATGCAAATGATCAACAGTGTTTGTGTTTAATGAGGATTTTGATGGTGCTCTTTTCCCAGTGCCACATGAGAGAGTGCAGTAATTGTGTGGGCTGTTTTAGTATGCAGAGGCAGCAACGCTGTGTTTCGGGCGACTGCAGTCTGGGTTTCTGCTGAGTCGGCTCCTTGTCTTTGGCGGTTTAGGACTCATTAGGCCTGTAATGTCTTAATTCTGTCCTCTCTACAAAGCCGTACTGACATCCCTAATATTTTACCTCCTGAAATGCATCACACAATTGATGCCTGTTGGGTTGATAAGCTGATTGACTGACATTGACCCTTTTTTTTTCGTGTGGCTAGAGTTTAATTTGCTGTCGTTTTAATAATAGGGGCTGGAAATCACACCAGCACACCCATAGATCACATCTGGGCTTTTGGTAGCATTTATTTCATTATTATTTCTGGGAAAGCTGAATTTTTAAAGCGACTGCAGCGCTGAGAGTGCATTTTGACTACAGGGTTATTTATATTATCGGATATTTATTCTGTCAGGCGGGAACTAAATTACACAATCTCATGCATTCCTGTGTAACACCAGAAAATTTGCTGATTCGGTGAATGCTATAAGCAATTCATTTTTTATAGAAATTGACTTTGTATGTTTCCAGAAAATGGCTGTTTTTTATGAAGCATGCAGAGCATTTCAGGACAAAACCGCATTTTGTTGAGCTGATGTGAATGGCAGACGCTGTGGCTTTAAGGGCAGACTGACCACAGGGGTGAACCGAGTGTCAGTGCCGACCACAGTCAGTGATCACTGTTACTGCGCTCGAATGTCTGAAGAGGGATGTTAACCGTAGAACTCAGATTAAAGTGTCTGGTATTCATCTACTGCTGCAGTGGAGTTGAGATCTATCTATCTATTAGGGGTGGAACGGTACACAGAAGTCACGGTTCGGTACATACCTCGGTTCAGACATCACGGTTCGGTACGATTTCGGTACAATGGAGGGAAAAGCAAAACAAAAATGCAGAAGGCATTGTATTTTTTAAATAAATTTTATTAATAAAGGCATAGAACCAGTTTATTTGTAGTGCACTGACAATAGTTTTGTATAATTAGTTTATTAATTAAATTAATAAAAAGACAAAAAGACCTTGCGATATCTTTGGTAATTGTACCTGAATTAATTTAAAATTTATTTGCTATTTCAGATCAATATATTTGTTTTCCTTAATTTTAATTAACATTATTAATTAACAATGTAACATTATTCTCATCTGAATTATAAATAATTGATTTCTGTATAAAATAATACTACCATTAAAAATGCATTCGATTTTCTTTTTTAATCAATGTAGAATGTGTAAGATTAGTGCTCCGAGGACGAGAAATGAAAACCAATGCGATGAATGTCCAAAAGATGGAACACACAGACTGTTTTGAAATGGAGTTGGATAAATATGTTTTGCTTTTAAAACAGTGTGTGTGTGTGTGAGAGAGAGAGAGAGATTTTGGTTGGGTGACAGTTGTAGGTTACAGTTTGACAAGAGTTTACAGTGTGACAAAAGCACAATGTTGTGTTTTATTGCGAGTGTACACAAATTTAAGTAAACACTTTGCAGGTTTAATGATCTGTATGAACAAAATGACGGTGTAGCTATGTTTTTTATGTTTCCACTGTTCGATCGCGGCCGCGCCTCTCTCTCACACACACACACAAACACACACACTCCAGCATTGCAATCTTGACATCGCAGCCTGTTCATTATGCGGTCACACCAAACGCGAATAGAGCGTTAAATTCGCGTCTATCGCGTCTAGTTCGACGCTAGTCCAAAGCGAATAGGACGCGTGTATAAAGCCAACGTTTGAAGTGAACGCGCGTTCAGAGCTAGCCGATGGTACAGATTATGTGTCCCTAAAGAACCCGCGTATCTAACAGTAGTTCCGCATTACATTAATTAATTTTCACGCGAGTTTTATTTATTTTTATACCGTGTATTCTCCGTGTAAATTCGTGCACCGAACCGTGACGCCCGTACCGTTTCGGTTCGGTACGAATACATGTACCGTTCCACCCCTACTATCTATCTGTCTTTCGTTCTATCTGTCTGTTGTTCTATCTATCTATCTGTCTGTCTGTCGTTCGTTTTACTGTATCTGTCTGTCTGTCGTTGTATCTATCTCTGTCTGTCTGTCTCTGTCGTTGTATCTATCTCTGTCTGTCTGTCTGTCTGTCTGTCTGTCTCTATCGTTGTATCTATCTGTCTGTTGTTGTATCTATCTCTGTCTGTCTGTCTCTGTCGTTGTATCTATCTATGTCTGTCTGTCTGTCTGTGTCTGTCTCTGTCGTTGTATCTATCTCTGTCTGTCTGTCTGTCTGTCTCTGTCGTTGTATCTATCTGTCTGTCTGTCGTTGTATTTCTCTCTGTCTGTCTGTCTGTCTGTCTGTCTCTGTCGTTGTATCTATCTCTGTCTGTCTGTCTCTGTCGTTGTATCTATCTATGTCTGTCTGTCTGTCTGTCTGTCTCTGTCGTTGTATCTATCTCTGTCTGTCTGTCTGTCTGTCTCTGTCGTTGTATCTATCTGTCTGTCTGTCGTTGTATTTCTCTCTGTCTGTCTGTCTCTGTCGTTGTATCTGTCTGTCTGTCTGTCGTTTGATCTGTCTGTCTGTCTATCTGTCTGTCTGTAACTATCAACACATGTGATTGAATTTATCGGTCCATAAGTTGAAAAATATTGATGACTTTTTAGAAATTATCGCACAGAACTTGAGAGTTGAACAAATTTAATTCTGAAAGATGTCAGTGTAAAAAAAAAAAAAACTGTACAACAAATCTTAAGTGCAGTCAACGAATTCACTTTTTGTTGTACGTAATATTTGTAGCTGATATATTTGTGATCCGTGCAAGATCTTGTCTGTTTTCGTCCTTTTGGCACTCCATCTCTTATTCTTTCTCTTCATCTGTATTATAGCTGTTCCTTAAGGAATAACTTCTAACCTGATTCCCATGCGTAACCTTACCCAGATCCTGACTGAACTCTTGGCCTCCTGCCTACACATTGTTTCTTTCCTCCACCTGGACACCCTAGAACAGCCACTGCCCATAACCTGATCCAGCCTTTGTTTTCTGCTCCGGACTCTCAAAACACATCTATTATTCACTTGCTGACAACTATTTCAGCAGCAATCCATGTCGGCTGCTAAACAAATTCTTTCCTTCTCTTGGTTTCAACCAGCCTGAACATTGACCTTTTCACCAAAAGTTGGGGGAAAAGTTGTAGAAAACCAAGCCATCAAGTTTAGCTTTGCCGTGTTGCATCGAGGCAGAAAATAAGACTATCTTGCTTTCCTTTTATTCACCTCACACTTCCACAAACCTTTTTTTGGTCATCCGCCAGTGAAAAAAGCAGGTAATGAAAGATATCAGATGGATGTTATGTTTGTGAAAGGAGGTATGTTTTCAGTCTCTACACAATCTCCTTCTTCACAATCTCAGTCTTTCCTGAGCCGCCTAATTGAACTATGTTGTCACTCTCCTTTGGCAGGATATGCTGCCTATTTTTAGACCTCCATTTCAGGGTGGCCGTGTTGTCATCTATTTTGAAACCTCTATTGAGTTTTCTTTCCTTAGCTCTCAGGGCTGTATTTATGATAACAAAGAGGGGTAGTCTCTCTTTTGACAGCTTTTCTTTACACTGCAGATGATGAGGGGTAAGCCAATTTTCAGTATGAGGCCCTTTGAGGCCCTTCTCATGCTAACAAGTCCACTGCCAGGAACTCAACCTTGACATTTATGCAATGACTTCAGTGAGATAAAATTTTCAAAAACACGCCCTAGTTAATGCCACTTGAAAGATGCCACCCGCTGTTTCTGTTAGTCATTTTCTAGATTATATTACAGTATTAATCTTTCAAGTCAACTTGACACTGTTTATATACATATGTAAACCCGTCTTATTATTATCAATGTTGTAAACCGTTTTTGCTGTCATACATTGTTTTGAGGATAAAGAACAGAGCAGTGTTTATTTGAAATAGCTTTTGATATGGCTAAATAGTTTTTTGAAATCATATATTTACGCTTAAAAGATTAAGCGGCAAAAACTTTTCAGCATTAATAATAGTTAGAAATGTTTCTTGAGCAGCAAATCAGCATATTATAATGCATTCTGAAGGATCATGTGACACTGAAGAGTAATGATGCTGAAAATTAAGCGTTTCATCACAGGAATAAATTACATTTTAAAAGAAAGTATCTTTGAAAACAGTTAATTTAAATTGTATTTCATTTTATACTGTTTTTACTGCATTTTTAATGTCATAATAAATGCAGCCTTGGTGAGCAAAAGAGACAAAACATAAAAAAATTCTTAATTCCCATTTTTTTGACTGGTAGTTGTTAATATATGGGTGTGTATACAGTTTGTCTTTATTTTTTATGTGAGGATTTTCTGAAGCTTATTGCAGCTTCCCCGGTTGTATGTGGAACCAGAGATGTGTTTAAACAGTGATTGTTAAGTGTAAATGATGAAGTATAAAATGTGACTTCTGTGTTTGGGGGAATTTCTCAATTTATGGTGTTCATTTCTCTCACCGAGTCTCCTCAGTTTAGATTTGCTCTTATTTGAATAGTTTACGATCAGGATCGGAGAGAGCCGCTTTAGCTCTGGTCTGATGTTTTATTCTCCTTTGTGTTCCAGGAAGAAGTGGAGACTGACAGCAGGAAGAGCTTGTTCAAGGCTGTGAGAAATCGGAGCACCATCCGCTGCTTCATAACAGTGGGTAAGTGAATCTGCAGTGAAACACTCAAACAGAGATCGTTCACGTAAAGAAAGAAAGGTGGAACGCTGCTGGTAGGATGTAGCGAATTAAATCGTGTGCAAAACAAACTGTTGCTTTGTGCCTGTTGCTGATGTGTAGAGTTTCTTCAAGGGCTGAAGGAACTAGTGATAAGCGATATATCGATATTCTGACAATCGCAGTGATTTTAATGCATTCTGTATTTGTCCATTGTCACAATCCCTCGCAAGTGTGAGCCTGTTCAGATGTTTTAATGTCTGCTGACCTCAGCTGCAAAAATGCTAAGTTGGCAGGTTTTATTCATTTCTGTTTATCCTTCTGTTTTTATAAATATAATTCATGAATAGTTGGCATCGTGACTTGATGTCTATCCCTATTTTTCATAATTAAATAGACATGCAAGCACTGCTATTGAGTTTGGGCGGTCTCCTCTGCTCACTAAGGCTGCATTTATTATTACAATAGGCTGCATTGTATAAATATTATTACAATTTAAAATAACTGTTTTCTGTTTGAATATATTTAAAAATGTAATTTATTCCTGTAATGGTAAAGCTGAATTTTCAGCATCATTACTCATGTCTTCAGTGTCACATGATCCTTCAGAAATCATTCTGATATGCTGATTTGCTGCTCAAGAAACGTTTCTTATTATTATCAATGTTGAGAAGTGCTGTGCTGCTTAATATTTTTGTGAAACCATGGCACGTTTTTCCTCAGGATTCTTTGACTAGAAATTCAAAAGAACAGCATTTATTTGAAATCGTTGTTTTATCATTCTTTTCAGTTAGTGAAAGTTTAAAAATGATGTCTTTTTTTTAACTTGGGGTGTATTCACACTAGGAAAGTACGATAGTTCACTTGCTTTGGTCCGGACCAAATACTTTTTTTTTTTTTTTTTTTTTTTTTGGTACGGTTCGCTTTCACACTGCTCTTTTTGCAAGTGAACCAAAATTTGTAAACAAAACCACATGTGTGCTAAGGTCGTCCATTCATTGGACAAGGATTCTCAAGTAGGGAAATCAGGAAGTGCAAAAAAAAGGCTCAGCATGGAGATATTTCGTACTGCAATATTTGTTATTTTACTAATTTTGTGTTATTCTGTACAAAAGCAATATGAAGAAACTGCGCAGAAGACGGATAAGGTATAAAGTTTTGATTCATAGAGAGGGGCTATGGTCAAACATTCAAATAATGAGATTCTTATTGTATATACTGCTAACAAGTGCTGTCAATGTTAACGCTTGCGATTTAAGTTTGTCCAGTTTAACGCAGCATCATCCTTGTATTGTAACTCCTTACATTATATGAACTGCAAAAGCTTTTTTTGCATCTATGCGCGATTAGACTAAAGAGAACGCTCTGTATGTGAATGTCCTGATGCACACACTCATTCATTCATTCCATTCCAATGATGCACACACGACGCGCAGAAAGACGCGCAACAGTATCGTGTGGCCAGACAGCGCGCCGGAATGGAATTCTCTTTCGCACTTGAACAACAATAACACAAACCATTATGCCAAAATCTCCGACTACGGAAGCCTTTTAACTCAAAGGCGCAGTGCTTTCTTGCAATTGGGTCGGTTCATGTTCACACCGTAAACGAACCGTACCAGAGTTCGTTTGGAACCGTACCGAGACCACCTCTTCAGCTGGGTCTCGGTTCGGTTGTTTGGTCCGCACCCGAGTTCGATTGCTGTATTCACACCTGCCTAAAAGGTCCGCACCAAGGGGGGAAACGAACTAGAGTTCGATTCAATCGAACCAAACAAGGCAGGTGTGAATACACCCTTAGTTTCACTGGTTTTTACAATTTATTTATTTATTTTTCTTTCTAATAGGTTGAAATGATGATTTCTCCTGGACAAAAAAAATGTTTTTTTTTTTCTGTTAAGCCATTTAAAGGGCTAAATTTTTAATATTTTATATGTGATGTTTCAAATGTATCACCACGAGTAGGTTCTCTGATTTAAATTGTGGATGACCTATGAAAAATTGCATTTAGTTCTCATGGTAATATGACTCCTCTTTTTAAGAATTAAAGAGTTGTATTCATTTATTTAACAAAGGAGGTATGAATATAGCCTTCGTGCTAGGTTTCCACGACTTGCCAGCAGAGACATACGGCAGCCTCAGAGATGAAATTACATGGGCCTGGATTCATTTACCTCTCACTTTTCAGCTCTGATGACGCCTGTCAAGTTCTGTTATTAACGTTACCAGTCAGAGCGTATACACTTTAAGGTTAACTAAAAACACTGATTCATTTCAGATTTCAACAATATGTAGATTTAATAATTCAGTTGCAACGTCAATAGGCTTGTTTTAGTTATTTTATCGTTGCTTGATCGCTCACTGTTGATGCACTTTCAACCCCCTCACATTTGCATTTAATTTCGGCTGTTACAGGTTACTGCACAAAGCTTATATAATGACACAGATGACAGCATACTTCCAGATTTGGAATAAGAAGCGTATTAAAAAGCTGCCTGGAAGAAGTGACCTGCTAGGACATGATTCATTTCCAATGAGATGGGCCAATGATCATGGCATTTATAGTGTATTCATTAACACTGTTTCCATCCAAAGTTGCGAATTTAACTTCTAATAAAGCAGCGTTTCCATCCATTTCCATTTTGTTCAAATGAACAAAATCGTCACTTCCTGGAAAACCGGCGCTCAAATATCTGTAATAAAAAAGGAAGTCAGGTGGAGCCACTGTGGCTCATTTTTGTACATCATAATTGATTTGCACCTCAGAGCGTGCGGACCAAATGCAGTAAACACTCATGTTCTCTTGCGTCCGGATGCCTGGTGTTTGGGAACAAAGTCGTGTGTGACAATTCAGGGAGGTAATTATATCAAATCATTTTCATGACAGATTTTGCATTTCAGAATGATGAAATTGCTCCATTGTTTAGTCCAGTTGTCCAATCACATCCACTGTTGAGGCAAAGTCACAAGTTTTTTGTTGCGCATCGAGGGATTTATTCTGTAAAAGTGTTTCCGTCGTAGTGTATTCGCATGTCTTATATTTGATAAAAAAATGATCTAATTCAATTGACCGCATTATTATTATTTTTTTTTATGTGCATTTTTAAAATGTATGCTGCTTTTCCATCCAGCGTTTTTATGTTATTTTATGTGATATCCGAAAATTCAATAGTTATGACAGCAGGACACGATGCGTGCTACTAATGTTTCACAAATATTTTCACACATCCACTAAAAGGCTTGGATTAAAAGATCAATCTTGGGATGTTAAGAGTCAATACCGGATTATTCAAATGAAGAAATCAATGTTTTTACCCAGCGTAATACTCTTTCATTAGCAGCACACTTGAAAGTGGTTCAGCATTTACTGCGTCCTCTCAGGTCTTACATCATTTCTGTGCTATTTTAAGGAGATTAATAGAGCAGGGTCTTTTCGTCCCTTCTGTCAAAGTCAAAACCCGAGCTGATTTTATTACGAGCCGCTCTGCATCACACCAAGAAGCCCGTCAGATTTGAGGGAGATCAGCATGTTCATTCAGGCTGATGGGAATGGCTTTTCAAGGCTTGTATTGTTTGAGAGCTGTTTCTATGGTCTCGTCGCTTGTTGCGCCGGCTTAACAAAACCTTGGAGGCTTTGCATGTCCCTGGTGAAAAGCGCCTCTTGTTTTAGAAGTAAGCCATCTAAAGACATGGGTGCCTGGGGTCTGGGATATTCTGTGATTCTGAGTTTCTTTCATTTGCTTTGAGGAATTAACTGTCTTCCAAAACGCCAGCTTTAAGACTGCAGTGGGGGCTCATGGGAGCAGCGGGGTGGAGAGAGCAGATGAGCACCTGCTCTACAGGTGATGTGAGAGAGGAGACCGCAGACAAGCAGAGATCCTTAATCAAGGGCATTCACTCTCCAACACTAAATAAGATTAATGGAACCATTTCATCTCTTTTTCAGTCTCGTTCTCACTGTCCCACAATAGAGGTCGGTGGGGGAACCAAAATCGTATGAGTGATTTAAATCACCGCAAACGTATTTATCACCATATACTCATTTTAGATGGTATTTCATCAAAAAAATGTACTACTACTTATTTTACTAGTTATATGAATAAGGATGCACAATATATATTGGTACCATTTTACCTGTATATATATATACACACACACACGTGCACATGCACACTAATTTAAAATATTTATTTTTAAAATATTAATTTTAGCCACCTCTAATTTTACATCTTTGCTAACTTTTGCCATTATCTAGCACTCAAAGTATATGTTTTAGTAACACTAATAACACTGTTATAAATAAATAATAATATTTATCAGATCGCAACGAATGCCCATTTTTTTCTTTTTTACATTTATTTTAATGTATTTAAATTTTTTTATTATTTTTTACACCTAAAGGTGCAGTGTGTATTTTTTAGCGGCATCTAGTGGTTCGCTTGTGAGTTGCACTAAGGGCTCAGCCCACTGCTCACCCCTCCCTTTCGAAGAAGCTACGGTGGCTAAAACGGGACAAACATATCGTCGTCTGAGACAGCAGAGAATAGCCAGAGTAAGCCAAGTTTCTGTACCACAGTCCATTATAAACCACATCATGGATAAAGTTTACAAATCCATAGTCATGTGAGGACCAAGGGTCTTAATATATAATATAATAATAGTAATCAGCTGATTGTCTCACAAACGTAACCAGCACATTTCTCCCCACATAGCAAAACCATAATACAGCGAGGGAGAAGAACCACATGCAACTATGCAACTATATATATTTTTTTCTAACAGGGTAGTAAAAGTTTAGCTGACTAATATGAGCTGTTACTGTGGCTGAGCTGGATAAAGCATAAAGCCTTGTTTAAGCGCGCGCCTCCGCATCCCCTAGACACCATTTACTACATACAATAGGCTTTTTTTCTCTGATTTTGTAAACTCTTCGCGATCGACTTAAAATACTTCCAAGATCGAGTTGTCGACCGCGATCGACGGGT